ATACAAGTCTTCCCAGGTTTCTCTGAAACTATACCCTTCATTTCTTATAACATGACAGTGGCCCACCACATTCATATAGCATAATTTGTTCAGCTATTCTCTAATTGATGGGCACCTTCTTAATTTCCAGTTCTTGGCCACCACAAAAAGAGTTGCTATAAATATTTTTACTGCCTACTTCTTTCAACCAATTTTTATATACCATGGACTCAGTGCCCTTCATCATTCTGGTCATCCTTCTCTTGATGCTCCCCAGCTCAGATTGAGCTTGCAGTCCACTAGAACCCCCAGATATTTTTTGGTACCACTATCTAACAATGCTTCCTTAATCTTGTACTTGTGAGATTGATTTTTTTGTACCCAAGTGTAAGACTTTTTTTAAATGTATTTTTAAAATACATTTGTTGCTATTAAATTTATCTTTTTAGATCCAACCCAATGCTCTAGGTGTCAAGATCCTGTTGTATCCTAACTCTATCATCCACTGTTAGCTATCCCTCTTAGTTGTGTGTCATCTGAAAATTTGATGAGCATGCCATCTATACCTTTATCCAAGTCATTAATAAAAATGTTAAACAACACAGGGCCAAGCACAGATCCCTACGGTGCTCCACTGAAGATCTACTATGTTGACAATGAATTATTAACAATTATTTTTGAGTCTGTCCATCTGACCAGTTCTGAATCCATCTGATTTCATCATCTAATCCATATCTCTTAATTTTTTCTACAAGAATAGTATATCTTTTTTTAATCAAAAGCTTCACTAACACCTTGGTAAACTATATCTACAATAGTGCCCTCATCTACCAGTTTAGCAATGCTGTCAAAATTTTACATGTGGTTAGTATAGCAAGACCTATTCTTGATGAAGCCATGTTGATTCTTTGTAATCACTGCTTTCTTTTCTAGCTATTTACCCACCATCTCTTTAATGATCTGTTCTCTAATTTTCTTAAGAAATTTTCAGATGCACTTTAAAACCTCCTAAAAAGATTTTAGTTGTGCAAAAATTTCCCCGACCAAACTTTTGGTTATCTTTGTCACATGTAAATCTTCTCCTCTCAATTAGCCCATTGTGATTTCTTTAAAATGTAGCCTTTTAGTCTTGTAAATGTAGTATTTTGCAAACTCAGTGTTTAAATCTATAACTTAGTCTGTTTACCAATTTGTTCTAATTTAGTTTGTTCAACCTTACTTGAAGGAAACATGAGATAATGAATCTGTTTGACTATGCTTGTGTGACCTTTATGGCCTAAGAGGCCATAAAGATTACTCTTATATGTTAAGTAATTATTTATGATCCACAGCAATACCAAAGGACTCATGATGCAAATGTTATCTACCTTCAAAGAGAGAACTGAGTGCAATTAGAGCATATTTTCTTTCACTTTCTTTCTTTTTCTTGGTTCTGCTTTTCTGTAACATGGCTAATGTGGATATGTTTTATGTGACTTCTTATGTATAATAGGAATCATATTTCTTGCCTTCTCAATGGATGGGGGAGAGTCTGGATGGAAGGAGGGAATTTGGAAGTGGAAATAAATATTCAAAAAATAAAAATAAAAATAAAAAAAAGAAATTTTCAGATGCAGTCTCTCTCCTGAGTGATATTCCCACATCAACTACCTGTTGGGCATTCCAAACTGGATGACCCATAGACACTCAGACTCATCTATCCAAATGACTTATCAATTACATATTCCCCTAATTACAATTTCAGTCTGGTCTCATGGTTCAGGTTTGAAATAGAATTAAACAAAACTGAGTATAATCCTTGAGGGGAAAAAATGGTCATTCAGTGAAATAGAGGACTTTCAAGCATTCTTGATGAAAAGACCAGAGCTGAATAGAAAATTTGACTTCCAAATACAGGACTCAAGTGGAACATGAAGAGGTAAACAGGAAAGAGAAATCATAAGAGACTTATTAATATTGAATTGTTTACATTCCTGCATGGAAAGATGATATTTATAACGCATGAGACCTTTGTCAGTATCAGGGTAGTTGGAGGAAAAAAATTATATGTATGTATATGTAGATAGATAGACAGAGGGCACAGGGTGAGCTGAAGATTAAGGGGTCATATCTGGAGAATAAAATTAAGGGATGAGAGAGGATTATACTCAGAGAAGAAGAAAGGGAGAGGTAGAATGGGGTAAATTATCTCACAAAAAAAACAGAAAAGTCTCTTACAGTGGAAGGGGAAACGGGGAAAGGTGAGAGGGAATGAGTGAATCTTATTCTCATAGGATTTGGCTTAAGGAGGAAATAACATACACATTCAATTGGGTATGGAAATCTGTCTTACCCTACAGGAAAATAGGGGGAGAAGGGGACAAGAGAACAGGGGGATGATAGAGAGGAGGGCAGATTGGGAAAGAGGGTAATCAGAAGTAAATACTTCTGAGGAGGGACAGGGTCAAAAGAAAGAATAGAATAAATGGGAGGGCAGGATAGGATTAAGGGAAATAGAGTTAGTTTTTCACAACATGTCTACTATGGATGTGTTTTGCATAACTGCACATGTACAACCTATACTGAGTTGCTTGCCTTTTCAGTGAGGGTGAGTGGGGAAGGAGGAAGAAAATTTGAAATCTAAAGTTTTAAAAACATACGTTTTTTTAAAAAATGTTTTCACATGCTACTGGGAAATAAGAAATATAGGAAATGGGGTATAGAAGTCTGTCCTGCCCTACAGGAAAATAGAAGGGGAAGAGGATAAGAGAAGGGGAGAGAGATAGAAGAGAGGACAGACTAGGGGAAGGGATATTCAGAATGCGTGACATCTTGGGGTGAGGGGAGGGGGGAGATGGAGTGAAAATTTGGAACTCAAAAACTTGTGGAAGTGAATGTTGAAAACTAAAAATAAACAAATTTGTATTGAAATAGAATGAAATAAGCTAATTGCATAACATCTAATATTTAACAAAAAGGAAATTCAATGAACAGTAGTATGGAAAGAATATTCAGCAAGTATGCAGCACTGGTCCAGTTAGATTTAGCCCCACCTTGTGTCTGTCACAAATGCTTCTGCTCAAAAGACTGTGTTGACTCTTCTGGCAAAGGGAAATATATAAACCAATCCGCATATGTTAACCAATTCTTTCAACCAATCCTCTTGTTATGGACTCAGCCAACTTAATGGGCACAATTTCTCAGAGGTATCACTCCCCTACTCAATAAATTCCACTAGCTCCCCATCATCTCTAGGGTCAAATATAACTTCTCAGTTTAACATTTAAAGCTCTCTTTCTAGACTTATTATACATTAATCCAACTTCCTATACTTTTGGTGCATCCAAACTGGCCTTCTTACTGTTTAGCAGTTGGAGAATGAGCTCAGTAGAGTTGAAGGCATAGTTGAGAGTGTAGACACAGACAGAGACACATAGACACACAGACACACAGACACACACACACACACACTTCAGGCAGTCACAGAGAGACTGCTTTCAAGAAGCTTTACAGAGTGGGACCTCTAGTAGCCCATCTGCCCATCTCCAGCAGGAACATAGTACCCCAGAAAGACCTTCCAGAAGATTCCACAACTAGAGGAAGGCCATTAAGGCCCCTAAATGCCAGAAGTATGAGTTGCTTTGGCCACATATTTTCTCTTTCTCACATAAGACACTATATTTCTGACTAGATATTTTCACTGGCTGTTTCTCATGCCTAGAATTTTCTGCTCTCTCACTCTGGCCTTCTGGTTTCCTTCAAAACTCAGCTAAAATCCCACATTCTATAAGAAGACTTTCCTGGTCCCCCTTAATGTCTTCGCTCTATGATTTACTCCAATCTATCCAGTACATATCTCGTTTGTAGATAAGCCATTTGCCTGTTGTCTCCTCTATTAGATTATGAATTCCTTTGAGACAGGAACTGTTTGGGGGTTTTTACTTTTTTTTGTATTCTCAGAGCTTGGCACAGTGCCTGGCATGTAGTAGGTACTCAATAAATTGATGCTTATTGATTTGATTATGCTCTCCTAGTTAAATGCCTTTGCTAAGAGCTAATTGTGTCTAACTAATTGTTAACGGTAAGCACACCAGTGGAAGTTCTTGAATTGTAGTTGTAGGAGTAGGTACCCACAGTCTGTACCCCATAACTTGAGAATACCAGCTGTCCTCTGGGGACCCAATCTCAAGTATGAATTAGAGTTGGCGGATACTCCAGAGAGAATGTTACATAATTAATACTGTAAACTCTATTATTTACAATTTGTCTAAAAAGTTGTATACTTTAATAATAAAAAGTCCTTTTTGCTTCCATTTCTCCTTTTGAATCAGTTTTTTCTATTAAGTAATTTTTAGGCATTTGCTTTACTTGGTCATTAATGTATTCAGATTCTCTTTCCTTCACTCACTTTGTATATGTCACTATTTTTAAAAATGTGTTATTTCATTACGTTCATGTACCACAGTTTATTCAGTCATTCGCACATCTTTAGACAGGCTATTTCCAGTTTCTTTTTTTCCTATTAGAAATGATACTGGTATGAACATTTTTTTGTACAGAGAAGTCTTTTCCCCCTATCATCTCTCTTATCATCCTTAGGGTAGTCTAATAGTGGGCGATGTGTTATCTTTTATCTTTTACAATTTCTAGTCGGTGCGATGTCAGGAAAAGAGGGGGGGACGATGAAGGCGTATGAAAGAGTTACAAACCACTTCGAGAAGGCGAGAGGGAAGTCTTGAGGGCAGGAGGTGGCGTCTTTGCTTTGGTTTTGGAAACAGTTACAGTTTCCTTTAGGCGGTGGGGGAAGGGTTGATGCCTGCCCGCTTGCCCCTTGACACCTGCTCGGAGGCGGGCCGGGGCCAGGGCCTGCGTCTGCGCCTGCGCAGAGGGGGACTCCGCGGTTTCCCCACCTGCTGGGCAGGGCCGGGGAATGAACGCTTGCGCTCTGGGGCCCCTTTTACTGGGTGGCGGGGGGAGGAGGATAAGGAGAGGAAGAGGGAAGTCTCCCGGGGGGGCGGGGCCTGGCCAGGCCGACGGAGGAGAGGAAGTTCTCGCGGGAGTACGGCGGAGGAGCGGAAGCGAGGCGGCTCTGGTGCTGCGGCTACCGGGCGGCGGCGGGCGCTGCTCTGCGGGGAGCGCCGGGATCTCGGCAGCCGCTCACTGCGGGTGGACGGGCCGGCGGGGCGAAGAGCGGGAGCTTGGCGCCACTGTGAGTGCGGGGCGGTGGGCGGGGATGCTAGGGCAGGGCCCGGCTCTTTCCCCACCCCCAACTCCTTTTTCTTCCCTTTCCTCGGGGAGGCGGCTTTGAGGGGGAGGCCGGGTCCTGAGCCTCAGGGCGGCCTTGGGCAGCGGGGCTGTGGCACCTTCTGTAGGAAGAGCCGGTGTCTCCGTTCATTCACCCCACCCACGGGTGGGAAGCGGCCGACCGAGGGGCAGCCATCCCTACCTGCTCTGACACCTCCCTCCGGGACGGCCTCCCTCCCCCCCAACCCCTCGGCTCTATTCCGAGTGACCCCCTCTTTGAGGACCATACCCTGTTTGGTCCTTGGGGACTTCCCTTCCTCCAACGCCCCCTCTCTCCCATGCTGGGACCCCCCAGAGAAGAGACTGTGCAGCTCCCCCGCCGGGGGATTCTTGATTTCATTTTGTGTCTGTCTTTGGCTTGAGCGTGTGGAGACCAAGGCCACGGAGAAGCAGAAATCCTTTACTGTTTTCTGATAACTGTTAAGGCAAATGACTAATAATTCTCTGTGTCAGCCTTGGTGCAGGAAGCAGGGGATTCAGAAGAGACTGCCAGGGTGGTGGGGATGCCCCTTCTCTGACAGGCTCGGCGCTCACCTCTCTGTAAGCTGCTGTCTGGTGTCAGGAAGGATTTTGATTTTTTATTTTTCGTGAACTTCGGAGAACTCACCAAGAAGCCTGCATTTGTCTAGGAAGAGAGGACAGGGAAACCATTTGAAATGCATTTGGTTCTGTGGCTTTGTTTTTTTAAACTAGCATCACTCTGGGGGGAAAAAAGTATTTGGTATGACTGAAGCAAGGAAGTGGGGCAGGTAGGGAGAATAAAATCAATTACTAGAAATTTTATTTGGAAAGCTTTTGATATAAAACTGATTTAAACCACAGCCTGTTTAGGAAATCTGAGAATCTTCATATATGGTAGTAATGTGAAATTCAGTTTGAAGAAGAAACTGGAGTACGCATTAGATCTTAGTTTCAGGTCTATTTAGTCTTAAATTGAAAAGAATTGACCAGGTATGTTAGAAAAAGAATTTCTGGATTTTGGTATTTCAGTCTTTATGAGTACTGCCTTCCTATACATACTCTTTACTGTCTGACCCCTCCCTACACATGTATCCTGTAAATAATTTTGGTTATCCTCTAATTTTTAACTCATTTCTCTTCAGTGCCCTATGGATATCAGCATTTCACCATTAACAAATTTCTTTTTGTTTACGTGCATCATCAATTTTCTCCTTGCTTGAGTTTATTTTATTTTATTTTTTAGGAAAAAAGGTCAAATTTTAACTTTGCAGTTCGTATTGTTCCACCTACTCAGCGTAGCTGTAACTGTCTTTCTTTTCAGTTTGAGAAGGACCAAGCCAGATGCTATATACATTCCACTATATTCTTTCATTCAACCAGAAGGGTTGCCAGAGATGCATGTGAGACTCGGGCTCCTCTCTGGGGATTTAGTGGACTCAAAGGATTGAATTCATCCCTAAGTAATTGACACTGCCGTAGGTCATAAGTGTAGTTCTCTCATGTAATTTGTATTGATTTTCTTCTAATCTCTTTCACTCTAGGATGGGCCTTTGTGTTTGCTGTACCCTGTAAGGGCCTTTCTCTTCTCCTGTGTGGGACACCATTATATTAAGGATTAGATTGTTCTAGGGTTTCTGAGATCATATAGATTTAGGACTGATTCAGCTGTGAATTTTTAAAAATGAAGGCTTGAGTAAGGGACCTAACATTCTTGTGGGCCCTCTTCAATTGTAAATTCATGTATTAGAACATGAAAACCTTGGTAGAAAATAACTTCCTTAGGCCAATGGTGGATCAATTAAAGTGTGCTCTTGGTAGTTATTTTCATTTATTTACTGTGATCAGGTCCTCTCTGTTCATATTATCATTATTTTCTTTGTCTAGTCCTTGAGAACCTCCTAGTCAGTCCTAGACAAAAAAAAAATCAATATATAAAAAATAGCTGCTTCCTGGAGAAACATCAGCTTTCTTTTTGGGGCTGTAATGTTCAAATCTTAAGATCTTATGATTTGTATACCATGCCAGGACAAAGCATTTATGGTTTCTGGTCGAGGTCTAAAGACTGTGTTATGACCCATCTGAGGTTTTAAGATTTCATTGTAATACATATATTTTTGCTTAGTAATTTTAACTACATTTAAATTAATTTTGTGGATGTAAAGTATCATAATTTTTCAGTTGCTTCCTCTGTCTTTGTCAGGATTCTTTGTCCAGTCATTCTCATTCACTTCTTCTATGGTTGTGATTAGTGTATACTCCATTATTCTCTTAACATATGTATCTTGACTTAACTACAAAATGCCTACCTTCCTAGGAGACAGGTCCTGTCATTAAAAATATGTGGATTTCACCTCCTTCGTTTCATGAGAGGTTGAGGTGGTAGTGGTTATGAGTATGGAATATTGCATATACTGTTAGGTGGATGGATTTTTGTTTAATTTTTTTTCTTTATATATATTTTAAAACAAGGCACTCAGAGTAGGGAAAGAGTGGAAAAATACATTTGGAAATGAATGTGATACAAAAACAAAAGACATCAATAAAAAGGGATTTATTTATTAAAAGTAATGTTAAAGCAGCTGTTGCAGCCTCTTTACTCTCCTTACACCTTAGGTCACTACTAGCTTTATAGCTAATTCCAGTTCTGGTTAGGAATACTTGTATGTCCTTTTCATTGTTTCTTTTCTCTATTCTTTAGATAATCAAGCACTAATAATATGCTAACTGAGCTTTGAAATAGAATTCCTACCCAATACTTTTCTGGTATTAGGGCACAGATTGGGAAAGAAGAAAGCTATTAATTTGGGAAAGATGAAACAATTCAGAGTAGAGGTTTGATTTTCCTGAGGGACAAATTTAATGTCATTATTTACTTAATTCATAATAATTTTCTAGGAATGAGCTTCTGCTTAAGCTGTATTGAGATTCCTCATGTTTTCTTTTAGCTGCTTTAGTACTTCTCATTTGTGACAACTAATGTGAAGATTGCATTATTTTTTTTGTCACGTAACACTTGTAGTACTGCATTAAGAGTGGGAATTTTAAAATCTGGTTAAGGCGTCCATATTGTACTACTATAAATTATAAAGTCATTAGAAACTCTCCTGTGGAAACCAGCTTCATTATTTGAACTTTACAGTTCCTCTATATTTGGAAATAACATTTTGAAACCTACTTGGTGATTTTTCATTATTATTTGTAATTAACTTTTGTATATTTAAACATTTATTTGATCCTGTTACTACAGTGATGTGTTTTTTTCAGAAGGTCCACTAAAAGCACTTCTTTGTTTTCTTACCTAATTGGGTTTTTTTTACTAGTTAGGATTTTTTGTTGTCTTCAACAAAAAATGAGGCTTCATCAAGGAACCAGGAACACCTAGATAAGGAACTTGTTGACTCCTATAGGATACTTACAGTAAATTGGACCTGATTAGTTGATCCTGGTACAGTAAGTTTCAGGGAATTTTCAAGGAAGAGAATTAAATGAAAGAAGGAAAAATTCAGCAAAAAAAAATTGTGTGAACTTCTTTTGAAAACATTGTGTAATCATGTAGTTGTACATGAATAAAAGTAATAAAACGTTATTGTTTACTGTGATATAGGAAAGGTCAATTTCAGAAGTATGTTTAATATCATTGTTAAGAGCTTAGAAGTTGTTCTTATGTGTTTTATCCATTTCCCAGGAGAATGGGATGATGATATTGCAGATATTACAGTTAGCAAAATATTTCTCATTAAAGTCTCTTTAGATTCTAAGTCTTAGATTTCAGATTGCATTTATTTAGTTATTTAAAATTTTCTTTTTGCTAAATTGGGGGTGGAATTTTCCTTCCCATCTTCAGAAGGACACACCCTTTTGAATCTTTTTAGCCAAGGAAAATTGGCTTACATTAGACAAATGTGCTATCATGTTGTTTATGGTGAATGTTCTAATAACCTTCACTAAACTTATCATTGTGAACGCCACACCCAGGACACTTCTCTAAATTTCATATATGGCACGTAAATTTTTCTTTGGCACATCAACATTAATGCTAATTTGGTTTGGTATCTTGTTTTTGTATCAATCAAACCATGTTTTACATAGTAACAATTGCTGGTCTAATTTGTGGCTTTTGGAGTCTGCAAAAACTTTCAGGTAATTCAGACTGGGTAATCAGAACCAAAATCAGTGTCAGAAAGCAATAAGAACAATTTCATTCTGTACAAAGTAAATACATGTTAGCTGTTATTGTCTTGAGTCTTGAAATACCTTTAAATATGGTTAACATTGTAGCATGCCCTTTGTTAAATATAGGCCCTTTCTTAGGTGTGAAATAGAGCAAGGGTGCTGGACTGGGAACCAGGACTCTCAGGTTCTAGGCCTAGTTCTGTTGCTAACTAGTATCTCTTTGGATAAATCACTTTATTGATCTAGGGTTTATCGTTTCTAAAATGAAGAGGTCAGACTAACTCTTTGAGGTTCCTTCCAGCAGGAACATTCTTTGATGAATCAATTAGGGTAGGTTAATTTGGCATGTATAATGTAGCCTTGAATTAGAGGTTGCCCTCCCAACTCAGTGTTGGAAATTATTCTTGAGGTCATTGGAGTAAATTGGCAGGTGTCTGGAAGAGTAGATAAGCCCTTTGCTCTGTTTACTATGTGCAGTTGTATCATTGGTTGGCTAGTTTCTCCAAAATAATGCCTGTTTCTTAGAGCCTTAGGATCTTACCCTGGAGCCATATTTTTAAGAAAGCTTTGAATTGAGCAGATGTTCCAAATATTAACTTTTTTTGGTGGTGGTTAGTACTCTTGCTTTTTAATCCCAATTCAGCATAGTTCCTCCCTTCACAGGCTATATCTTTGTCATGTCCCTGCTTCTGTAAAAATTTCTTTGTTACGTGCAGCAAAAGGTCTTTAGAACCTCCAGACTTTTATTTCAAGCCGATTCAGGCCTTCCTGATAAGTTCTTCCATTTGTAAAATCTGTGGCCCAACCTTAACCCTGTGTTCATATTCCCACTTGGCAGGACTAGGCCAATTGCTACTGTGTCAGTCAGAATAATGTTCTAATTGCTAACTTGTAGGAGAACAAAAGAATAATAATCATCTGTGCCCCTCCTAAGAGCTCTCAGGGGTGCTTGTTATCTGATCTAGGTGTCACTATAAATATCTGTCCCTATTCTGTAATTGTGGCAATGCCAAGTGCTATTTTTTTCTTTGTTATGAGCATAGTAAGTGAGCAAGAATGAGAATTACAGTGTAAAAGCAAGCTAGTATTCTCTCCTGATCTCACAAAAGCTAAGTTTTCATGGTGTATTAACTTAGCTGAGATTCACTTTCTCCTTAGAAGTGATATTTTAAAGTCCTTTCTATACTTGCTATGGGAAAAGAACTAAGCCACTTGTTCAACTGCTAATTATAGTAACTATTTCATGTCTCCTTGCTCTGGGAAAAAAACTTCTTTCTATTGGGACAATCCTGTGTGAGGATCTGATGCTTGGCCTTCTCCCACATTTATTCCTCCAGATGCCTGGAACTTCCAATTTTGAAAGAAAATCCATTTTGAATGTCAGTGGCAGCACCACTTACCCCGTACTCCAGGTTTGAAACCTTACCTTTCATACACTTCGCTCATCTTTAATGGCCAAAGCATCACTCAGTCTTGTCTTCTAATTTGATGATATCTCTCATCTCCTTCCTTCTTGGTCCCACTGCTGCCAACTCTGTATAAGCCCAATTGTAGATATCTAATAGGTCTTCCCTTTTTAACTTTCACCTCCCTCATTGCTTGATAATTAATGTTATATATCTACAATCCCGTCACTCTTTTAAACGTCTTTCAGTAGCTTCCTATTCTTCTGAGTTCAAACTGATCTTCAGTAACACATTTTTCTAGCTTTAAAGTTTGCAAATTGTTTTCTTTACAACTACTCTATAAGTTGGACAGTTTAGAAAGGCCTTTACCAGTCTTCTCCTGCTCTTTCTGTCCCCGTATGTTTGCTTTTGCTGTTTTTTTCCCTATTCCCCTACTTTAATTTTGCACCCAGTTCAGTTGGTACCTCTTCCATAAAGCCTTCCTGGATCTCTTCTCTCCATCTCCCTCCTTCAGTTACTTTACACCTTTCATGAGAGACACCTGTGTATTATTTGGTATTACCGATGGTGTAGCTCCCTTCTGGAATGGAAACTCCATGGGGCAGGAATCTTATCTTTTGTGTTTTATCTAACCTTTGGCTTCCCTAATACTTAGCACAGTATGCTATACATAGTAGGCACTTAAATAGTTGTTAGGCTTGAATTTGGATTTTAGTCTACTAGATCAGTTAGACATGATTCAGTCTCCCCCCCCCCCAAAGGCAGTCGGGGTTAAGTGACTTGCTTAGGATCACACAGCTAGTAAGTGTCAAATGTTTTAACTCTTGACTCCAGGGCTGGTGCTTTATCAACTGTGCCATCTAGCTGTCCCTAGACATGATTCATTCTTGCCAAGGAATATGTTGTGTTCTTTCAGGATGTTGGTCCCTAGCTGGTTTGCTCAAGGTGGGAGGTAAGAGGTACCTTGTAGTGGATGTAGTACAGAGTGCATGGTACTCAGTCAAAGAACCTGAGTTGGAACTGCATCCCTGCTACTTATGAGCTCTCCAGTGTTATGCAAGTCACTTAACCTTTCTAGGCCCGTGTTTCATCAGCTCCAAAGTGAAGGGTTTACCATAAATGATCTCTCAGGTTCCTTTCACCTCTAAACCAGGTGATCCTTTAAGAGAAGGACCCCAATCTCTGTGGGTATCTCTTTGTTAAAGGAGGCATATTTGGGCACCTGTCTCTGAAGGCAAAGATGCTTTGAGCTTTGGTCGTAATTCCTTGGGACTCTGCTGTGGGACAAGTGGGACGGCTGTTGTTCTGGGCTATAAGTGAGAAATGATACCAGGAAAGCTATCTCTTGAAGTACCTTTTCTTTTAAACTTATTTAGGGTAAACTCCTTATTCATTCTTCTGTCTTCACTTTCTAGTCTTTGAAGATAGGCTTAGCCCCTTCCTGCTGGGGAATGGGAGTAGAGTAAGAAAAGCATTCTAAGTCTGAAATTTATTCTCTGATTTGGATGTTGAGAAATGGCACCCAGCCAACCTTAGGTTCCCATGAGGTCTCACAGCTGGTTTTCCAGTGGGGGAAAATAGAAGAAGGGTTGGTTTTGGAGAACAGACTTAAGTTGGGGATTGCTGTCTCTTCTCTCATGGGAAGCTTTTCATGTTCTAAATTTTAGGTGGGAAGTGGGATAGGGAAGAAGGAAGACTTTATTAAGGTTCCTGGTTATGTACATACCCAGCCAGTTAAGAAGAAACAAGTCTGTTAAAAAAAATTTTTGTAGCATGTAATATGTTTATATATATAGTAAATAAAAATATGGCCAGATGATTGGCTTGGTGGGAAAAAAAAGAAGAAGCAAGTCTGGAATGGAGTACCTTTAACAGATGCTGCCATTGGCCAGTTTATTGTCAGTTGGGCCCTAGAGCTGAGGTTAAAAAGAGGAAGAAGGAGATGAATGGGAGCTTCAGCCTGGAGGGCCAAGCTAGGGGATTTGAAGGCTCAATATAGTCTGCTGTATTGTTAGATTGGGGCTACCGTTGATGGGGGGCCACTCTCAACTCTTACTTGTTATCTTTTATCCTTCTTTCAGGGCAGAATCTTACATCTCCTGTACAGGCAGTTCCAGTGAATCAGATCTCAGGGAGGGAGGAGAGTCTGAGCCCAGATAGTCGGGCCGTTGCAGCAGGGAGGTCTCCATTCCCTCCTGCCCCAAGCTGCTGAGCATTTAGCAGCTCTCAGCATGGAAGCCATCGCCAAATACGACTTCAAAGCCACTGCAGATGATGAGTTGAGCTTCAAAAGGGGTGACATCCTCAAGGTAAGGGTTGATGTGTAGTGCCAGTCCCTCCTCTAGCCCACAAACCTTTCTTACCCAGAGATCTAAAGAAGCATTGCTTGTTTTTCCATTTTCACAGTATATTTACTCACTTATTTAATCTGGATAGGTGGAGATAACTGCTGAATGAAATGTTTATTCTCACTTTGAAGTTGGTATGACATGTTGTTTTTCTAAACTGCCATGATTGCTTCAGTCAATTGACAAGCATTTATTCTAACTCTTTTCTTTGTTGGTATACATGGATTTGACATCAGCGATTTCTCTAAGTGAAATCAAAGCAGTGTGATTGAATAAATTGATTGAGCTGGTCAAAGTGGAAGCATTTTTCAAGAGTGCCTTAGAAAGAGATTTTAGTGGCCTAGATTTGAAGGATTGATATCAAACTGAATTGTGCAAAAGCATCAAGTTCGCATCATCTTATATGACAGTCATAAACTTTGCTTTTCCATGGTACTGAAGTTGAGAATAGTGAGGAGATCCTTTCCTCTTGAGAAATTATTTGTTCCCAGATTTTAGGAAGGTTAGAATACATGCCAGACCTTGATAAAAGAGTATTGACTGTGTATTTTCATCCCTTTAAGAGAATAGTCATCTTGAGGGGTAAATAATAAGGTAGTTAACTTGCTCTTGCAGAAGTCAGATTTTTATTTTCTTAAAAGAAACTTGGGAAGCAATTACCCCATACTATACTGTAACTGCAGAAAAGAAACTTGCTGACAGTTTAAAAATAAGCTTCTACACGTTTGCAACTCATTTTGAGCCCCACTATTTACACTAGGATTTTCTTTCCACCTGGGACATGTTAATTATATTGTTTACACAATTGACTATAGCAGCTTTGCCCTTTTAGATATATAATTTACTTTTACAGCTGTGGGTGTATAGAATAGTGTGTCACCTTTAAATGGAGAAATTTTAAAGTTTAGTATTTGGTCATTTGAGGATTTTTTTTTTAAGTTTACTATATATAATTTTTACCTCTGCTTATCTGAACTGTAGTCTTGTGGCTTGGGTGTTATTAGGAACTTGCCTGTCTCTACTGTGACTGAAAGAAACTTGTGAAGTTTTCTAAAGAGGAAGAAAGTGATGATGCAGAAACATAGCCTATTGTAAGAGTGCTTGTGATTTTTTCAGTCCTGTATGATTATGGTTAAAATGATCTATTTTTCCCAACGCTCCCCGTAGTGTAGATGTAAGATTGAGTTTTGGGGTCGTCCTCACAACATAGTTTTTCTTAGTTTCAAAAAAAAAAATTAGGTTCAAATTACATGGGAACTTGTTTAAAAAAGGAAGAAACAAAATTTTGAGAACAGGTTTGTTTTTTTTTTAAGTTCTTGTGAAATTGAACTCCTTGACATATAATTTAAATGGTCTGCAACAAATAGCACTGGTACTAGAATTTATAGTGACATAGATCTTTAGTTTTTAGAGTAATTATTTTTTAAAGGCACTGAAAATATCAGAACAGGCTTACTTCAAACATTTATAAAGTGATTACTGATTTCAACAGATAACATGTTTGTTAACTCAGTACCATTAGCTTCTTAAAACCAACACATTCTAGATTTAACAAAAGTCTCTTTTGGGCTTTGGTTTTATTTATGCAAACTGATAGATTTCTCAATGAAAACCTGTTCTCAAGAATTGAACATGATTATCTGACATTCTGGATTACTGTCTAGATTTTGCTTGTTGCATACTCAGCACTGAGGATCAAAGAACTTGAGTCCTACTTATCCAGAAAGTTTCTGAAAATTTACAAGTGGTGACCACAGCCATGAGTCAGAAGCACTTTGTTAACCTAGATGATCTGTGTATCCCAAAGGAAGTGTATTATTCTTCTTTGACCCTCTTAAAAGAGTGCTACTCTAGTTAAGCAAAACAATGCTGTTTGACATTTCCCCAAGAGCATATGTATATAGTGTTTTCAGTGAGCTAAATAAACTTTTCATAGAAATGTGTTTGATATTTTAAAAGACTAATCAGAATGGGTTAACTGTTTTCTTCCTCAAAGTACAAAAGTAAAAGATTCACATCTTGTTTGTCATTTTAGTAGATAACTTGAATATGAAGTCATAGTGCCATTACTGCATAGCCACATATTCTAGTCTCAATTGAATGAGCAGTTTGTTAGTAATCTTGTGGCTTAACTCCAAAAATGAATGAAGATGGCTGCCTCTTAACTCATAACTCTCTAAAACAGCTGAATGAAGAAGAAAATTGCTCTCTCTTCTTTGGGAGCAATTAATTAAAAGCATATAGTTTTTCTTTTAATTATTTAAAAATAACTGGGTCCATTTTAGTAATTTGGCTTTTATTCTTTTTGTGACTTTAACCTTCTAAAGATGTTTGGGACATAAAACAGTAGCTCAAATTGTCTGTGTACATGTTGAAATCAGCATCTGTATACACTTTGCTAGTAAATGTTGGGTGATCCTATTTCATGAAATATGGAGTTATTAGTTGCTAACTGAAACTGAGAAGATAGCACTCCTGTCTATTATTTCTCACCAGCTACCTCAGAGAATAATCTTGATTGTTTTTTCCTGTGCAATATGGCATTTTTATATTCATTCTTATATGGTATATTTACCACTCCATAAATGTCATTTCAGAAGAGATAACATGGTTTAGTGGAATTAATCCTGGCATAGAGCTGTAAGATCTGTGTTATATATTCCTAGCTTTTTCACCAGACTAATTGTGTGACTTTAGTCAAATCATTTCACCTCTCTTGGCTTCAGTGTTCTCATCTGTCTGAGAGGATTAGATTATCTTTGAGTCTGTGAGGAGAAATGTGCCAACTCCCTGTCTCTCCCAGGCTAATATAAACTGGCTCCACTTGGGATATATAAGAATGAAGGAAATTGCTCTTATTTAGACTGATTATGAACCGAGGCTTGAAAGATCCCCAGGAAGCTGGAGAAATTTGGATTTCCTTCCCCCATCCTTCATAAGGTGGGCTCTGGATGATCGTATGGCTTTTATAATAGAACAGACCTTGCAGCAGACACAAATGTAGAACAACCTAAAAATTGTTTCTGTCTACTAGGGGCTGAGGAATGACACAGAGTTGGGCTAGATTTCCTGGAACTACTCTAGATTAGAATTCTTCCATCTTGTTGAACTGTTCTTTATAAAGTTATTGGCAATCTCCTGTTTGTTGAATCCAGTAGCTTTTTCTGTCTCTTTATTTTCTTTGACCTTTTAATAGCACTTGACATTCTCATTCTTTCCTTGAGGATTTCTTCTCCCTTTAGTCTCTGTGACTCTCCTGGGTTCTCTTCCTCTTTGATCACTTCTCTGTCTTTTTCGTTGGTTCATCTTCTTCCTTCTTAACCTCAAATGTATGTATTCATCAAAGTCTAGTCTTTGGCCTTTCCCTGTTGGTATGCTAATCTACTTCTGTGGCTTCAGGTGTCACCAAATTCTATACTTCTTTACTGAGATTTAGTCCCATTACTTATACATACATATATACATAATTTTTTTTCTTTGGTATGTATAGGCTTATTCTTGAATCTGATACTGAGACAGCTGTTTTTTCTTTTAATTGGTATCTTTTGTTTTTGTATCACCTTCATTTCCCAATATATCCCTCCTTTTCTTTACGCTCAGAGAACTATTTCTTCCAACAAAGAAGAAGAGACAGAAGAAAAATCAGTTCAGCCCAACTAATCAATACTTTAATCAAGTCTCAGTGCAAGGTGTGTTCTTCCATCTCTACAAAGAAGGGAGAGACAGTATACTCTTTTCTTTTGGGCTATACTTGGTCATTATAATTTAACAGCATTCATTTTCTCTTGTTATGGTTATTATTGTTGTTCTCATTTGCATTTTTGTAGTTGTTGCAAATGATTTTCTGTTACCTATGGAGCGTTTTTTTTAGAATTTAAAATTCAAAGCCAGAAGGGACCTCCAAGGCTGTCCAATCCACTCCTTTCATTTTATAGATAAACTGAGAATGAGAGAAGTGAAATAACTTGCCCAAAGATGCGTAGAACCTGTTGGAAGCAGGATTTGAATCTAAGTGTTCTCACTCCAAAATTCAGCTTTTTTTCTATTCTATTAAAAAAACCTCACACTCGGCTTGTCCAAAATTAAATTAATTTGCTTCCTTAAACTTCCTCCCTTCACATTCTAATTTTCTTATTTCTGTTAGTGATATCACTATTTCCCAGTCACTTGGGCTTAAAACCTCAAAGCCGTGTTTGATACTTCCCTCTCTCTCACTACTCCCTCCCCCGATTTAATCATCTGCCAAATCCTGTTTTTGTCTCCTCAGTACTTCTGTATCTGTCCCTTCCTCTCTACCTAAGTTTAAACCCCTTATCTCCTGCCTAGATATAGTAGCCCCATGACTGATGTGCCTACCTTCAGCCTTTCCTTTTTCCAGTGTGCCTTTCACACTGCTGCCAAAGTAATTCCAATACACAAATCTGATCAGCTCATGTTTCTGCTCAAAAATCTTCAAGAATTTTCCATTGCTCTTTAGATAAAATAAAACTTAGACTCACATTCAGATCATTTTACAATCAGGATCTACCCTAGTTTTCTAGCTTTATTTTACTCTGCCTCTCTTCATGTATTCTGTGTTCTAAACAAATTGGACTATTCAGTCTTTTCTGCCCTCTTCTGATATCATAAATTTGCTTATGTCCTTCCCTGTGATCTTGTGTACCAGTTACTCCTTTAAGCCCTCTCATTTCTATAGGTAAGCCTGTCTACTGTCTAGCCAGAAGGCATTCTTCCATCCTTAAATCTTTTTACCATTTTTGTTTCACTGCTATCAAATCGTCACATTCTAATTTGTGTTAATAGTTATCTTCCAATTAGACGAATTACATGAAGGTAGGAAATATATAGTCTTTTGTTTATTTTTGTATTTGCAATGCCTTGCATTGTAAAAGGTACCAAGTGGACTACTAGGCCTATATTCATTTGGACTCAGAATTTTGAGCTGAACTGTGGAGCAGAGA